CCGGGGCAGGGGCCCCGCCACGGGATGTGCTGCCGGCAGGATGTTTATCCAGCAGCCGGCTGGGAGCTGTGCTGCAGCTGGAGCGGCTCAGGATGGAGGGAAGGGGGTCTGACAGCACTCCCCCCCCCCGGGGGCCAGGATTGGGCCCCGAAGTCAGGGAACCTACTTCTGTGCCAGCTGTCTGGTCCGTGTCTCCTCGTCCTCTTCCCTGTCATACAATAGGGTGTGGCCGTGCAGGAGCATGGTCACCGTCCAGCCATATGTCCTCTGCAAGGGTGGGGGGGTGTGTGGGTCAGGATTTGACTCTGTGCCTCCCAGGGTGACATGCCTGGGTGCTGCCTGCACCGGGCTCACCTGCAGCCAGTCCAGCACCTCCTGCACCGTTACCTCTTGCCCATCTGCGCTGACTGCTCGCATCTCCAGCTGGTCCCAGCAGCTCCACTCTTGCCCACCAAACTGTAAAGAAGAGAATTAGGGTAGCCAGTGGAACTGCCACCCCACAGCCCCCTGCCTGGTTCTGCAGGTCAGGGACTGGCACAGCACAAGGGCTGGCGTACAGGCTGGTGGGCAAAGGGACCAGTCTGGAGGTAAGGACACTGTGGTGGGCTGGGGGCAATGGGGGGCACGATCATCCATCCCCAGATCTCTGCTAAGGTCTAGGGGCAGTGAGGGACACAGCCATCCCACCGGCACAGCAGGGACTAGGGCTGGTTGGGGCCGGGCACTGCCCCCAGCCCGGGGCCAGGACGGGTGCACAAAGAGCCATTGAAGCACTGCCCAGCCCCGCACAATTGCCTCTTCTCACGCCCGCGGCCCCCTGACCCCAGCTCCGGCCCGAGGGGGCCAGCGAGGCGCGGAGCTCTGGGCCGAGCGCAGGATGCGGCCCCGCGCAGTCTGGCACGGCCGCCCTGCCATCTGCCCTCGCCGCAGGCAGCGCCAGCCCCTGCTCTGCTCGGGAAGGAGCTGTTCTGTTCGCACCTGGCTGCTCTCCCCTCCTGCTCCTCCTCCTGCTGCCTTCTCACCTCCTGCCTTCTGCTGCCTGTGCTTATTCCACCGGGATGGAAAGGGCTTAACCCCATCTTCACCAGGGCGACCGCCCAGCGCAGAGGGGAGGCCACTGCCCGTCCCCCTCCCCAGCTGAGGCTGCCCCTATGGTGGGCTCCCCAGGCCCCCAAGGGACCACTGGTCGTGCCAAGCAGGCTGGTGGGATGTGTGTTCCCACACCATGGCCAAGCTCTCAGAACAAGATGTGCTGGGTGTCCCCACCGTGGGACTTAGAGGTGGTGGGCACTGCTGTGGGGACCGTGGCATTGCCAGCCCCAGCAGCGTCCCCCGTCCAAGGACAGTGCCAACCTGGGGGCACAGTGGCTGGGACAGCACAGGGCTGGGCAGCCTGCAAGGAGACTGTGGGGCAGCTGGGCAGCCCAAAGCAGTG